GAAGCAAGGGGGTGAAATGTTCAGGAGCGCGCACAAGTGTGTGTGTGTGTGTGTGTGTGTGTGTGTGTGTGTGTGTGCGTCTGACAGAACAAGACGAAGCAAGAGAGCACTGAACTGCAGACGCCTGACTCTCACAGCAGCCGAAGCTTCTGCCAGAAAACAGAGACGTACAGTCGACACTATGTGCGTGAACAATGTGGATATTGTGAGTCGAGCAAAACGCTTCCTTTAACTCGCGCTCCTTAATAAGAAACACGCTGAGTGTGATGCAGGACTCGGCTAATGGCGGGATATCACAACGCAATTTTGTTGAGAAACACGTTGACACGGCAAGCCGCTTATTTCCCTCTAATTAACAACCTGACAATGAAATTCGTGGCACTGGTTACACTTTCCAGTGCGGTTATTTTCTGACATCGCCACCCAACAATTAAATTAGCGCCTGCCCATCACAGCCTGAAGTGGAACAATGACTGAGTTCCAATTTAAAATAACTTGCTGCTGTGTTAATAGGACACAATGAGCAACACCGGCTTTCACTGCTGCTGAATAGCCACTATCACCATCAACACGCCACGAACATAGGGAGCTCGTTTAAAGTGACATTAGGCAATTCTGCATGCTAATTACTTCCAATATATGACAAAGAGCTGAGAAGCTGGGGTGGGCTTTCAGCATCTCTCTGCACAGCCATGCTGAGCGATAAGGGCCTCGATAAGCAGCGAGAAACTATTAATTAGCTCGCATGGATTCATGCAGTCAATGGGGTTTTGTTTATCCTGCTAATGTCATTCCTTCGATTTCATTTCAGAGACTCGGCATAATCAAAATTTGTCTTATTTTCTATTTTAGTCATTTCTTTTTAATCTCTTGGTCTGCCACGAGGAATGGATGCATTTTGTCACTAATGAGACGACATAAAGAGCATCACAGAAAGCTTTAATCAGTGCGAGGTTATCATTTTTTGTGAAATATAAATCAAAGACTGTCATGAAAAGCACACTCTGAGTAAACACATCACTCGTATTCTGGATTTTTAAGCATCTATTTGGCATCCAAGGGACATTTTAAAAACTCACTTAAACTTGATGTGTGATTCGCAGCATTCCTGATCCTCTAAATCCGACGTGTTTATCAGTGATGCCGGCTGACAGCCTCCAGATCACAGCCACAGGAAGCTAAGTGTGCCGTCCATCCACATCAAACAGCTGCTGATCCTTACAGGGTCCAAGGTCCCTGAATAACCTGCAGGTTGCTCCACAGCCGCGGGACCTATCAAAGGAAACCTGCACCGCGAACTGTGTCAACAATTACTCCATGTCATCGGGAATCAAAAGCAAATAGTGCTGCACTTTAGAGCCTCTCTCTGGCTAATATTTTTGTTTTTCTCTCTTTAGAGAGAAACTTATCTCGGCCGATCAATACTGGCTAAGCTGAGGTCGGCTGAGGCGAGGCTGAGTGAGAACGCCGTCAGCGACGAGTGGTTGATGCTGGGGTTGAAGATATTTGGCTAATTCCTCTGCCTCTCACCTTTGTTTTTGAAAAAGCACGACTCACTGGTTCTTCAGACGCTCACGTAAGCGCCCGCCGAGTCGACCAACACAAAACGAGACAGGCCAAGGTGAGGCAACGGAGTTCAGCAGCGCAATCTGAAAGCTCTGTGTACTTTAAAAGGGCAACAAACTTTGAGCTGATAAAGTCAAGTCTTCCTGACCAGCCTCCACAACAGCCGGCTAACAAGCTGCTCTCTGCTAACGCCGGACATGACAACTCTTCTGTGAAACCGTACGCCCGGAGAGGCAACCTTACAGTGCACCTTTGATATCTTGATGTGAGACGTTCTCAGCCGGTACCCCACCCCGGCACAAAGATGAGGTAGATATTTTGCCTCTGTTGTGTGAAATCTATGATGTGAAAAGATTTAATTAAGATAGGCTGAGGAGTCATAATTAATTCTGCCTCTCTGTGAGTCAGGCTTACTGTCAAGAACACAGGAAAGGCTCCGGCGGAATAAATTACAGGAGCCTTGTGTGTGCGGCCATGTGAGCGGCTGCTGGGTGTGGAGCGCTTACTGTATTCTCCCACAGCTGACTGAGAGTTATGTCAGTTCTACGCACTGTTTTCAAAGTGTTCCTGAGCCCGCTGGCACTTTTTTTTTCTTTTTACAGGCGTCCCACGATCTTAGATCAAATCACATTTCAGTCCAGGAGTTTATTTTGACTGTCAGTGAGGAACATCCTCCAGAGAGAGCTGTCAGTGGCAAATGTGAAATTGAAAGCTTTGCAGCAAACGGGCTCTCAGCAGGCAGGTGGTGCTGCAGACAGCGACCGTCACAGGAGACCTCTGAACTGTCGGAGACTCTGCTCGTCCATTACACCTCTCTCCTTTGAGTCTCTCGCCTATTTTAAATCTTTTTTTGGCCATTGTTTGGTCGCCTCAGGTTGAAATAGGATAAAATGAAGGATTTGCCTCCAGGGAGGTTTTTTCACTGATTTTCCTTTTGGCCTTAAGACAGAATTCAAGAAGTGAATCGATTTTGTTCAAATGCAATTATATTCGGCATGAATCAAAAAAAAAAAACACATTAACTTTAGCATTATCATTTCTAATGCCGCCGTGATTCGTCCTTCACCAGCGAACAAGCATCTTCGGTTTTCCTCCGGATGTGGACACTAACAGCAGGGGGCCCAGGGCCTCATTTATCAAGCATTTTTCCTCGTCAACCCTCATTACCAAGGTCCAATACTAATCCCTCAAGCTGCAAATTCTATGAGCTTTCTAGCTTTGGCCAAACACGCAACAACTGTCTTATTATCAGGAGACGACAGGCAATAATGAGTACGGACTGAGCCAAGCAACTGCTGCTTTGAGCTTTCAAAGAAAGAGCCTAATTAAAGGCTGCTTTGTGACTTTTGTCACTTTTTTGACTGGTGATTATAGGCCATTCATTGGGGAGGATTCATCAGCTATTTGCGGGTGGCGCGCACCATAAATATCATCTAAGAGCTTTGCTTATGTTGTGCCGAACCTGCATTTTCCCCAGCGAGTCCCGAGATTTCCTCACTCTAATTTGCAGAACAAATTCCTTTACTTTCTGCAGAATCTCCTCGCGCTAATAAGGACATCTCATCAACGGCATTTCAGAGACAAGCCAGGCTGTTTAAAAATGCAGGCTTCTTGGTATCTTGTCTGTGATTTCCTGTAATTAAGTACTGGGGAGCGGCGCGTCCTTGGCGCTGAGGACAAGTTCAGTAGAACAAGCCCTGTGCTCTCTGGAGCAGATTTGACTAATGGCGGAGCTATATTAGCCCTCTGCTGGTCCACAGCATCTTCTAAATCCCTCCGCACCACTACTAAAATCACCCGTCTCCAAAAAGTGGCCTACTGCCTTATTTGGGCCAAACTCTAATTGTCCCACTAATCTCTTCAGCGTTAAATGACCCAGAGAAACTGGGTCCCACAGGGCAGGCTTACCCCGCTGATTGGAGACTTTGCTTTTTTGTTTTGCTCGGCGTATTAAAACAGCATAGGCAGCTGATGGAAAGCCTACAGAGCTATTGGAAATATAATTAAGGGCTAGCAGCAGCTTTTAAACGGTTGACTAGTGCAGAAACAAACCCTGTCAGAGTGCCCTTCAGACAGCAAAAACTTTAATACACGGGAAATGAGTGGCTCAATCGATAAGCAGGGCGTTATTTCTTTTGTCAGGGAAAATTCAATGGAAGACAGGAATGAGCTGCTTCACCGCCTGCATACGGCCTCTCATTTTACCATCGGAGACCCAAGTTTGGTTGCAACGTTTGCTGCAAAGCGAGACAAATAGAGACCTCTCTGTCAGACGCGATCATTTGTCAAGTCCGTTTGACTCATTAAGACAAAAAGAAAAGCTGCTGTAAACGGTGCCAACTGTGTTTTGTGATGAGGGTAAAAGGGGCAGAAGCAGACACGTCATAGACTTCTCAGGTGTTGAGGTGAGACGCTCCAATCAAGCACAACGATACGTTAAAGTCAAACGACCATTTCACACTGACAGCCTCTCTGACGATTACATTCATCATAAACCACCTCTAATTTGATGCTTTTTTTTTTTTTTAAAGCTTCAGCTGCTTTTCCAAACAAGCTGGCCTATGGGGCAAGTGATTGAGCAATTATCAGAATCAGATTCAGCAAGCCCACACTGTGGCCTTTTGTCCCTGGCATCAGCAGGCCCTGGGATCATTAGAAGCATTTTCTCTTTGTGTTTTCTCCTTCCAAACCTCAGGCTTTGTAGCCTGCACACAGACAGGATGATGATACAACACCTTCAGAACTAGCAGGAGTCTGTCCCTGGCTATCTGTCAGTGCAGCAGAAACACACCAAAGTCTATCAAACACTGTCTTACTGTGCTGCCTCTGATAAATATTCATGATAGCAGCTTGAAAACCAGCTGTTTTTCCTCCAATTAAAGCTTGTCGAGATCTACTGTTTTGAAAATAAATTGCTGCTTTTTTTTTTTTTTTTTAAATTAACAGCTCGAGTTTTTGGGCAAGAAAACAAGTGTAACATTGCAAAGATTTATATGCGCTGGATGGGAGGAGAACATATGGATAACACAAGGCCAGGTAGCGGTGTTCGTGCCCCAGGCCTACAAACCCCCAGCAGCCTGAAGTAATGCTGAATACTGACGGAACGGGAGGGGTATTATCCTATTAGACCCTATCAGAAGGACGCGAATGCTGCTGCGGTAACAAGTATTGAACATCAGCCCAACTAGCCGTGCGGAGCAGATCAAATCAAGTCATCAAAAGATCCTTCTTACATCAAAGCCACGAGCAGACCAAGGCCACGTGCCTGCCATACCAACAGTGTAGAAACAAAAAAGCAGAGCAGCCAAATCTGGCAAAGCGCACAGACGGCTGCCCACTTCAAAGGCAGGGGATCTGCTGTCCGTGGTCATTATTCGAGGCGCCCTCCCCCCAGAAAGCAAGCGGTCAGCGGAGAGAACCCACAGAGGACTTACCATCAGGAGGCTGGGCCGGTGTGAAGTGAGGTGGTTTGTCTGAAAGAGATAAAAGAGAGAGAGAGAGAAATAGGTTTTTAGTTTTGGGAAGATTCAGCGACTTCCCAGGGGTAGAGGCCAAGTAATTGAGTTGCTACAAAAAAAAAAAAGGGAGAGACACATTCTGTCTACAGGCCGGGCTTTTCTATCTAACACATTCTAATGCAGCGACTGGGCCTGCAGGGATCCAGCTGAGCTAATCGACAGGAGTACATTTCAGAGATAGCGGTATCATCACTGTCGTTGGCTGCTTCCATGGTCTTCTGCTCCCAAATCACACCGCATGACTTTGGATATTACAGGAGAACACAGGCATCCGCTTCTGTTTTGAGTTGAAAAGTCTGAGATAAGATTGAAATTTTCACAAACAGTTACGGCACAAAGTACATGAGTGGAATCTACTCAGTCCCCCCGTCCCGAGCCTCCTGCAGACGTACGCAGAATAAATCAGAACGCTTTGCTTCGATACGCCCGATGATGTCATGGCCTCCTGGTCAACACCCAGGAGACGATGACATCAGGCCTGTTGGTTCGTGGGAACCATAAAACAGGACCTGTAGTGTCAGATGACCGAGTGTAGAGTAACGCTCGGGGAAATTCTTGCGCAACCTGAGCTCTTTGCAGCTTTGGTGCTTGACAAACTTGACCAGGCGATATTAGCTGATATGTAACACTCGTGTAGTTTGCTTTTACGTGACTGAACAGGCAAATAGAAGATTTTGGTCGCAGCAAAAGACGGACTGAGTAAAAAACAGAAACACTGCTTTAACTAATATTTACTGTTGTTTATTCTCATGATTATTTTTCTATTATGATTTGGGCAAAGAATAGTGAAAAAGCAATTTCCCAGAGCCTTAGGAAATGTCTCTAAATTGTTTATATTCCCAGACAAACAGACTGAAACCCAAAAATGTGTCATTTCCAATAAGAAACACATTTGAGAATCTGTAACTAGAAAAAGTTTGTTCGCTAAACAATGATTTTTTTCCCCAATTCGTGGTAGATTAATTTTTCTGCGGATTGGCTAACTGATTAAACAACTAATCATTTCAGCAGCGAGCAGAAAACAGACACAAAGCAGCAACAAGCATCCAGCTTGTTTATTCTTGCAAAATCATACTTGGTGTTAATTGGGACGTGTTTCTTTCACACAGAAATAGCAACATCACTGAGCATTAGCGCTGATGTACAGGAAGGGTTTTTGTCATTTAAGCAGGGAAGCTCACAAACACGACGCGCTCCTCAAAGATCACTGTGACGCACTGGTCACGGTGTACCAGGCCACTGGAGCACCAAGCACGAGCCTACCAAACCACCATCTGCACGCTGGCAGTCAGTTCGGCTGTCTGACTCACTAAGCAAAGCCCCAGTGAGTTGTCAGAGCTGCATGCACTGAACAAACACACACACACACACACACACACTCCGAAAGGCTGTGCAGCCACCCAGCCATCTTTCCAGTGTGTATGCACTGTGAGGGATAATGAGGAAGATAAAACACATCACATCAATTACCCTGCTAACACATTTTTCCGGGGCCCCGTCAAACCAGTGCGCCGAAGCCTTTTTCAGGACTTCTGCGATACCCGTCAGCATCCAGAGACACAGCTGAGTTTTAAATTTAGGCTCACTTAAAATTGCTTGTCAACAGCCAGGGCTTCGGGGAAGAAAGAGAAACAGCGTGTCTGACTGTATGTGTGTGTGTGTGTGAGGGAGAGAAAAATGAGGCGAGGGGAGAGCAGAGGCGAGGCTGGTGCTAGAGGTGAATAATGAAGTGTCTGCTGAAGCTGTTTCCCAGTCAGTCATGACGGTAACTGATTTCCATCTGGGGGGGATTTCGAGAAAACATACGAAACGAGGGTAACAGAAATTGGCATGAGGAAGATACAGAGGAAGTCCTGCTACGAGTGCAAAGGAGCATCGACGCCGGCTGCACTTCCTATCTGGCATTTGTAAGCATGCACAAACAAACATGCGGTGCAACAGAGACACGCTGTCGCACAAGGTGAACCAGAAAGAGGCCGACACAGAAGGTGTAGTACAAAGTGAGTCGGGATGCTGGGCGAAGCTAAACGATTTCTTCACATTTCCATAACGAAAGGACAAGATAAGGTCTTTCCATAAACATATCAGCCATTTCCATCTCCCTTTGCACCCAGCAAAGCCCGCGTGAGTTCCTGCGCCTGTGTGAATGTCACAATATGGTCATCATTCAACATATATCTCCTGCAAATCAATAAGTGTCTGACTGTGACATTTAGCCATGTGCAGAAAGGAGTGTGTGTGCATGTCTGTCTCTGTGTGTGTGTGTCACCTTCCCCTTTGGTGTAGTTGATGTATAGTCGTACAGAATGATGAAGCGAGTGTGTCTCCGTGTGTGTGGGCTCCATTGGCAAGCAGAAGAACTCGGAGGGTGGGGGGGGGATATGTGTGGACATCCTTCACCCCGTATGTGTACGACAGAAATTGCGAATCTGAGGTTGCACGACTCCTCTGACAGCCCTCCACCCACAAAACACACACACACACACACACACATATCCCCACCAGCAGCACTATCACTATCCCATCCAGCTGTCCTTGTGGTCACATGGCGAGGCCTCTTGGCAGCATAATAGAGCCCCTTTCAGCTCATCAGTTTCTCCTGTGCACATTTCTTTTCACTCGGTCATCTGAGAGGTGAAGATTGGCCTTCTTTAACTGGGTTTGTATTAAATCTAATAGAATCTGTCTGACTCTAATTGATTCGGTAACAAGGCGAGGTTACGAATGAACTCTCCTCCTTTCCTGTAGCAACAACCGCCGGTTAGAAAGGGAGCAAATGACTGGCAGGAAAACACAGATCTGGAAAAAACAAACAAATGCATCCTCCAGGCAGTGAGGACTTTGCCTTGCACATGGCTGAAAAGTCAACAGCCTAAAAAGAGATGAAGAGAAATCCCTGAAAATGAGCTGACATGGAATAACAGCCACGACCAGAGAGAGCTCAAATACAACCTGAACTCACATCGACAGCATTAACATGACTGTACTTATTGAACATATAATTATTATAATCTCGAGGCATAAATAACAGCCCACTTTAGAGTCGACTAAACGTCACCTTTAACAGTTTAAACTGGGAAGACACTGACATACAGACTTGTGTACGTCTCTGAGAGGCGGAGGAGAACGAGCAAGTGAGCGCATTGTTGTGGTGAACACATGATTGTGTGTTATTAGTGGTGTAAAAAAAAAAAAAAAGCTAGCACAGTGTGCTTGGGGGATGAGCAAATGTTTATTTCAGTCAGAAGGCAGCTATTGGATCTGACACTGAAACCATCTGAGTACCAGGCGTCTACAAAAGTTAACTTATGTGAAGACAAAACGCTGATGGAAGGAGAAGTCTGACATATTTATATTCTTCAAATTAAGAAATGAAAAAAGTCGTTGCTTTTATGCAGAAACTCCTCTTTTGTATTTTCAGCAGCACTTGAAAGCGACACTCAGCATAAACTAAAGCAGTTCCTTCTCCAAACTGTTTGAGACACAGCCCAGCATCACCACTGCCACCAGTAACTAAGACACGCCAATGCTGCGCCTTGGACTCTTAATGAGCTACTGTACCGTCAGTAAACAGCGAGAGGGGGGAATGCTGCAGAAGGCGGAAGCAGTCAGGCTTTTCCAGGCCAAAAGATAGTTTTCATACACCAAAGGCATGTAATCGCCATTTAATACCTCATTGCACAGTTCAAAGTAAATGTCAGGGCTTTGGAGGCGAGATATGAAGCAGCCTCAGAAGCCTGCAGACAGAAGCAGAGAAGAGGGGCTGACTGGAGCTGTCCTGATGCAGTTCAGATAGAGCTGGAGCTCGGTTTGGTTTTTGTTTTGGTGGGGGACATTAAATGCAAAGACTAAAATGATTTGTTTGGCAAAGGCAACACCAGGGCTTTCTAATGGCAAGCATGTAGGTGATGTATATACACACAGCAGAGTGCACAGAGTTGGACTTTAGGTGAACCACGTACAGTTGTTGAGGAAGAGCAGCACAGCGAAGCCCAGCGTGGATGTGGCCAGCAGGATCAGACAGATGTTGCAGGGGATCATGAAGTAGCGCACCACCAGGGACACCTTGTGCTGGTACCGGCGGTCCCGCTCCGGCGGCGGGGGCGACGGATAGTGGCACCCGCTCATGCTCCACTCCAGCGACCCCCTCCCCTCCAGGCCGGAGGAGATGACGGGCCGCGGAGTGCGCCGAGGGGTGCTCAAGGACCCGTTGGAAAAAATGATGGCGGTGGGATGGGGGCAGACGACGGAGAAGAAGAAGAAATAAAACGCAAAACAGATGCGTAATGGTCGCTGTTTCAGCTGCGGTTCCAGCTGTGCTCCGTGGCGGGGACCCGGTGGTGGTTTCTGTCAGAGGATTCCAGCAGCAAGCTTTCAGCGGTTTCCAAGCAACACATTTTTAGAGATAATAACATCCATTTGGGGGAGAGGACAGACAGGGGCACAGGACTGCTGGACTCCTACAGTCCCCCACCTGTCCACACGACCTCCATGCTGCTGGAAGAATAAAAAAAGCCACGCTAATGGGATTTTAATGTGCAAGTACGTGTGTGTGTTGTGAAGTGGTTTATACTTACAGCGCAAACGTGTGTGGATTTAAGTGGGTGGTGATAATGTGTTTGGCAGTGTGTGTGTTGGTGCGCTGTTTGGCATGTGTGTGTGTGTAGATGTGGGAGCCTCGGACTATCTGAAATCCACACGGGAAACTTCCACAGTAAATCCACAAAAGGAATCCGCTCGTCCCCCCCTTAGTGGCCCTGATGGTGAGGAGGTGTGGGGATGCCGGCTCCTGCAGCTCCCCCTCCTCCTCCTCTATGTCAAAGCCTTTACGAACCGAGCCGAGCGCGGGTGTTCGGCCACCACATGTGGCACAAGTATCTCCCCAACAAGTGCGTCTTCACTCGGCTTCCCCGTGGCTGCTGAGGCAACAGGGGTTCTCCTCAACACAACCTGTT